CGGCGGGCGGGGGCAAGCCGGGCGGCAGAGCGGGGAGCGGCTCCGTCATGGCCACGGGCACGGGGCGCTTCGTGGTGTGGGACTACGTGGTGTTCGGGGCCATGCTGCTCATCTCCGCCGTCATCGGCGTGTACTACGCCTTCGCGGGCGGCGGGCAGAAGACCTCCAAGGACTTCCTGATGGGCGGGCGCAGCATGAGCGCCCTGCCGGTGGCGCTGTCCCTCACCGCCAGCTTCATGTCGGCCGTCACAGTGCTGGGCACCCCGGCCGAGGTGTACCGCTTCGGCGCCGTCTTCTGCGTCTTCGCCATCACCTACCTCCTGGTGGTGCTGGCCAGCGCCGAGATCTTCCTGCCCGTCTTCTACCGCCTGGGCATCACCAGCACCTACGAGGTGAGAGGGGCCTGCGCCCTGCCCCTGCCCCACGCCTCACGCCTGGGTGCTGTCGCCCCTCTCCTTGTCCCATGCTGTGCCCATGCTGCCAGCTGGGCGCCGGGCTGGGAGGGCGCCTGATGACTGGGCTGCGTGGGGAGGAGAGTGTGTGTCTAGATCAGGTCTCCGCCTGTTTAAAGATGAAGCCACATGCTGGTGTGAACCATCTTGAGGTCCTGAAACCCATAGCGGGGTAAAAAGACCAGCCTGCTGTGTCCTGCCCTCCACTGCCAAAAATTATAGGCATGGGAGGGTCACTTGCTTGGAAATGAGGCTGACCCTGCACTCGCCTTGCTCCAGTATCCCCCCATTGACCTGGTCTCAGTATTTTTACCCACTTCTGGGTTTCAGTACCTTAAGATGTTCAAGCCAGTGCATGGCTTTATCTGTGCACAGACTGTGACGTGCTCTAGGCAGACAGATTTTATTGGACCGTTTCAAACCAAAAGGTGAAAGTACCAAAGTGCAGAGATCCCCTTCCCCTCACCCCCATTCATCAGTAACAAACTCCTGCTATCGCCGCTGAGCCTTCCCACGCCAGCACCCGTCACACTCATAGAACAAGGTGGTCATCTCTTCCCCCACCCTCCCGTGCAGAGTGGCCCCTTGATGGCCCAGCAAGGCACAAACTGGTCCACATTTGGTTGTGAAGGAAATGTTCAAACTCAAAGGAGTCCCAATGCCCTGCCCAGAAACAGAAAGAGGCAAAGGATGTCACCAATGCCAGCTCCTGAGAGCCAGTTCCTGCAGCTCTCCAGGGTCATCGTCTGGGCCTAGCTCAGTAGGAAATTGGCCAGATAGATAGACAGGCACATCTGTCATGTCAAAAGCCCACCTGAAAATAAAATCCATCATTCTCAAAATTGGGTTCCTCAAAGAAGAATTGCAAATCCGTATTTAGAGCTCCCAGTGGCATACTTGAGCAGACGCTTAAAGTTAAGGAGATAAGCAATCTAATAGATATCATCTGGGCTTCCTCATTTACTTAAAGATAAGCAATCTCTGCATTTGGCATTGAATATGCCTATGTTTTCCTTAGTACTTATGCAGGTGGAGCTGCACATACTCAGCATTTATGAAAACAACCCACTTCTATGTAAGTGCTGAAATATAGCTTAAAAATAGAGGGGTTGTTTCTTTCCTTCACCCAAGTCAAGTGAGTAAAAAGCTACAGAAGGTACTAGTAAGTTATGCTGCTTGAATGAAATGCCTCTGGGAGCTAATACCTGCAGGGAATTGGCGTAGAGGAGCCACATTGGAAACCTGCATTCTCTCGCTCTTTGCCAGACAGGAGAGTTCTGGTCTTGGAGGACAAGGAACCTCCTTCCTCAGCAGAGATGCTCTCTACATAGAGTGGATGGAAGTCTAATACTCATCTCTGGCTGCTTCCAGTTGACTTTATGTTCATAAGCTTTATGCCCTTAATGATGACTAGTAACATTCTAAAATCCTGGAAAAAAGATCAAAGTACAGTAATAATACAGACATTATGGTTATATCCTTATTGCTAGTAAAACAGACTACAGAGGTCAGAATTCAAGCCTCTCCTTGTTTTTATTTTCTCCCCTTTGCCAGCACTCAAAATTCAAATCTGAACCTCAGCTCTTGTGGATAATTAGATATTATCAACTACACTGTTGATCACACTGGTGGATAAAGGACTTTTTCTTTGTCCTATTGTACATTACACATTATCGTTAAAATGGGCAAGGGAATGAAATTGTATCATGACAAGTCAAACGAAGCCAAAATTATCCAAAAATAAGGGTCACTGTATCTTAGCAGGCACTATAGACAGAAGGTTACAGTTCGTGTTCAACACCATAAAAGACATTGGATTTATCTGTAATGCTGACAGTGAGTTACTTGGACAAGTGCCAGTGGCAGCATTACAGTAAGAGAGGTGTCAGCTTTAGAAAATTGAGCTAAACTGAAAACGTGTTGCTGTTTCTGGCAGATGATCAGAGCAGGGAGAGGTCTGATTAACTCTCCTTTTCACAATATAAACAGGTTCTATTGTTCCTTCACTGTCCTGGTTTTTGCTAAGAGTGATGGGTGTGTTAAGCTCTGCAGCTCAGTAGCCTATGACAATAATTACCTCCACTGCTTGCCCTGCCTCTGGAGATGGGTCCAGATATGCCCACATGGAGCATGTTCTGGATCTGCTTGCGGCGGGGAACCAAGGGAGTTGGACACTTCTGTTAAAATAATGTATAACTTGAATGTGAAAGTTGTTTATTCCTTTTTTTCCACAGTATTTAGAGCTTCGATTTAATAAATATCTGCGTCTCTGTGGGACAGTCCTCTTCATTATACAAACGGCAAGTAAACCTCAAATTCGATCTTTGGTCCTTAGTAGCCTTCAGCATTATTTAATCTAATGTAACTGGTGATCATGTTTGAGTAGTTGTTAAGATTACTACAAAAGTTCAAGAATGGGACTGAAAGTAAAAGACAAGAAAGTTCTTTTAGCTTCATATTTATGAGTTTGAGAGCATACGCTGTTCAGAAGTGCTCTTTGTTCCTACATGGGTACTTGAGTAATCTGAGTGCATAGCTTGAAGCACTGCAGTGCTCTATGGCTGCAATGAAATGAGGAAGGAATACATCAGCCATGGGATAATAATGTGAAGAGTATGCATTACCTGCACAGTGCTTTTATGCAGATTGCACAAAATCCACAGGTTGCAAATACAGACATGCCTTAAATCAGGGGTGTCAAAGATACAGCCAGATACAGCCCGTGGAGCCCCATCATCTGGCCCAGGGTGCTGCCCTAGTTCTGGAGTTGATCCACATGCCAAATGTGGCACATGCTGGACCAGACCCGCATGCAGGACCTTGGACACATGGTGCACACAGTGCCAACTCTGGCCAGTCTGGGACTCACACAGCACACAGTGCATGTCCCAGTCACATTAGTACATGCACCAAATGCACCAAATGCAGTGCCTGCCCCAGCTGGTCCAGGACAAGTGCATGTGGTGCCTGCCCCAGCCAGTCCAGGATCCATGCTGCACACAGTGCCCACCTTCCAACTGCTCTGGGACAGGTGCTGTGTGCAGCATGGGTCCTAGACCAGCTGAAGTGGGCATTGTATGCAGTATGTATCCCATTCTGGGTCTGGCATGGAGGGGAGGGGGTGGGAGAGGGAGGGAGTTCATGGCCCTTATCTAGTCCTCAGGGCTGGCCATGCAACATTCATCTAGCCTATGGACCATCCCTATCTCACTCATCTAGCCCAGATGAGTTTGACACCCTACCCTAAATCTCTTGGAACCATTGAATTTGGCAAACATTGGGATGTTAACTGGCCAGTTGCATCTTGGGCACTACTTCTCCAAGAGAGAAACAAGTCCATCAAAGGTATGGGAGATATGGAAAGCAACATGCTTGAGCTCTGATGATATCTCATCATATAGTAACACTCACAAAAGGTCTGAAGATTTAAAAGGGACAAATTGTTCATAATCCCTGCTTTCAAAGCAGATCAAAAAAGAAGCTGGTACCTACTAGAGATGTGTCTGAGGAGATGGATTCAAGAAATGTATATATTTCTTTGTGCCAAAACTGTATTTAATTGTCTGGGATCATTCAAATAAGGTTTGATTTGTTTTACCACCTTACCATTTTGATAGTATCGCAGATATTGGTGTGTCACTTTTTTGTACTTTTATTTCCTTTTGTACCAAATAATTTGGAGAAGAACAATTATTTCTTGATCCTTGCTTTAAATTAACCAAAATCTGATAAGGGTTGTGGCAAGGAAGTTTTTTATCATGATGCTTAAAGGCAGTAGGGAGATACTCACTGGACATGTCTACACATGCATTTACTCCAGCATAGATTTACTGTACAGTAAGATACTGCAGAGTAAGGTTTTTTGGGTAGGTGTCTACACATGCAGGGATTAGGGAGAAGGAACCCTGCCACCACCAGGGGGAGCTAGCCCAGGGGCTGCCTGCTGCTGGGGCAGGGACAATGTCCCCCTGCCCTGGCTGCAGGGAGCTCTTGGCCCTGGCTCCCCCATCAGGGGCATGGGGCTTGGAAAGAGCTGCAGGGGTGGGGCAGGTCCAAGCCCCCTGCCCCGATCTGCCAGTGGGGCAGCTATCCACTAACTTACTGCTAGCTGCCCTACCAGTGGATTGTGGCAGGGGACTGGGACCTACCCCACCCGCTCTTTCCAAGCTCCATGCCTCAATCACCTGATCAGGGCACGGGGCTGGGACCCGCCCCTGACCAGGACAGTTCCCAGCCAGCCCCAGGCTGTGCAGGAAAGTGTGTATATACAGCCTGGAGCTGACTGGGGACTGTTCAGGCTGGGTGGGAAACTATCCCCATGCAAGGAGCTCCCAGGCCCTGCTCTTTGATTGCAATTGCAATTGCAGAGTAGGCGCTGGGGAGCTTGTTCCCAGCCCCCGCTCTGTGATTGTGGAGCGGGGTTTGGGAACAAGCTCCCAGCCTGTTTCCAACCCCAGCTCCCCGATCACAGAGCTCCTCACTGGTCAATGAGGAGCTCATTGACCAGTGATTGACTGATCACTGGTCAATGTGATCAGGGAGTGGGGGCTGAAAGCTCCCTGCTGCTGGGGCAGGGGAACATTGTCTCCACCTGGCCACGCAGGGCAGAGGCTGGGGAGCTTGTTTCCCAGCCTGTTCTGTCCACAGCCTGTTCCCCACCAGCTCCATGCTTGTGGAGCTGGGTGCGGAACAAACTCCACAGCCCCTACCAGCAGGGAGCTCCTTCTGTCGGCTTTGCGACCATGGGGCCACTGCTGGGAGATGCTTATCTTGTAGTCCAAGTTATACGGTCATGGGGCTAGCTCTAAAATTGCATACTTGCTGAATACCAGGTAAGTGGAGTTTTATTTGCTCCTTTTCCACTTATACATAGGCTCAGAATTTGATTATATGCTAGCAAAAATGAGGACTAATTCAATTGAAGTCAATGGAGTTAAATCATATAAAGATTAGAGCATACAAGCTCAGAACAAAAACCTCATTGTGAAACTTGTGGAACTGCATATGTCATTGTTGAATTTGATCCATAGACTTCCTTGGAATTTGACTGTAGTTGACTTCAACCTTCATTTCCCTAAATATGACTCTGTTACACTACAATCAGTTTCAACATAATAGAGCAAAGGCTACCAAGATTAAAAGACATGATAAGACAATTATTATAGATGATATCTGAGTTGTGAGCCTTATTACGATAAATGAAAATGAAGGGATTCTTTTGGGTGTGTGTCTGGATTACTTTCCTGTAATGAATGAAAACAAACAAAACAATCATCCATGCGTTCTTGTCACCCCCCAATGGCTGCAACCCACTGGTCTATAAAACCCAACATTACTATACAATAATGAATATGTAATGGTGTGCTTCTAGTTATTGTTAATTTCCATTATGTTTGTATATTAAGTAGTGCTTGAATCCTACTGAGACTAAGAAAATGGATAATAAAAGATTTCCTGGCAAAGCGCACATAAACGTTATTGACTTCCTGTCTATTACTACACAGTGATATGACCAGTGCGCAGTTTGGCAATATGAAGACTTAGTCAGAAAAGCCAGTGAAGATGAAGAGGACTTTGGCATTTAAGAGCTGCTTTAGTGTTTGTTTGTTTTTAATAATGCACCATGAAGAGTGCACTACTAGTTAGTTCCCTGGTATTTTTCCTATAAACACAAGCATTGTTACTTAACACTGCACAGCACTTAGATATGTTGCTATTATATTTTGTGGACATGCCTACCAAAAAATCAATTGTATGTCTGTATCACAATTTTCAGAAATGCATGTTTCCTTTGATTTTTGTATTTGTTTGCTCTCCTCTAGATTTTGTATACCGGAATTGTTATTTATGCTCCAGCTCTGGCACTAAATCAAGGTAAAGTGACTATAGAGTAATCATTTTATGTTAAAATTATTTGCGTAGTTCATTTTCAATTTTTTTTCTTTCATCTTTGCAATATGTAGAACTACTAGGATTTTAAAGCAGGTAGAGATATATGCCACAGTAGGGTCAAATATGTAGTTTTTCAAGACTTAGGTTGACTTTACTGGGAGTTTTGTTTGTGTGAAGACTTCCAATAGTCTCTAGTTAATGAAAGATTGTGGAAGAGACTAAAGACCCAGTGACAAATTCTGCTGTCAGTTTTACTGCTTGTTTTGGACCCCCTGAGGCTGTGATTACGTGAGGCTACTCAGGCAAGTTAAGAAAACTGGCTAAAGTTGTAAAGGCAATGTACATGTGTGAAGCAAGTTTAAAGCCCCATGTGACTGCTATGAGAAGCAATAATTTTTTGGGGGTGATATCCTTTATTGGAACAACTGCATAGTTGGAATCAAGTTAGACAAGCTTTCAAATGCAAGACATTCTTCATCAGGTCAGTGTTCTCATACAGAATTAGGACTGGGCCATTTTCTTTCATGCAATTAATTTATGTCTCAAAAATGGAGTTTGAGATGGTTTCAGGTGCCCCATGAACTTGGGAGGCATTCTAGAAATAATTTTGGCCTGGGAGGGAAAAAAATGTTGAAGTCAGAATTGTGTTGCAACATTTTCCAAGTGAAATGTTTTGAAACCGCACTTGGTTTTGAACTTGAGTTAAATTTTTAATTTTTTAAAAAGACCCCAAATTAAATATTTCCAGTTTTCATTTAGTGAGAAACACATTCAATTTGAACTAAATGAAAATACCTTTTTTTTTCTTTTTGCCTTATTGGTTTGATCTGAACCAAACAATACATTATATGCCCAACTCTGTTCTGGAGCAGTTTGTAGTCTAGTGACTGGTGCCTCCTGAGTCTGGGGAGGCACAATTTGTGGGTGGGTGGAGGGAGGACCAAAAGCCCCATATCCACTCCTATACTTTTGTGCCATGGCTTAGTGTCCCCCCACCACAACACACCACTGGCCTGCGCAGCAAAAAAAACTGCCCTGTCCTGAGCAGTGCAAGTTGGGGGCCAATCTCAGGGGGTGCACGTGCCTCCACGTGCTGCCTCCTACCAGTCGCCTGTTTCTATAACCCCATACAGAGCATTCAGACAAGAAGTTTAACAAGCTTTAAGTGATTCACATTGCCTTCAGACCTTTAGTTGATTCACCTGAACTTTCCCAAGTATCCCCAGGTAGATAAACTCTTTCAGGCAACCCACACAAATCCTTTTGCTCTGAAATCAGCAGGTCAACGGATGTTAGGACTATATTTTAGAACTTTACTGAATTGGAACCTATAGCAATATAATCATTCTTGGTTACTGAGATTTAGAGAAGAGAGTTGTTGGATACAAACATATTTCCAATTGTGTAGAAGTATGGCCTGCCAGAATTACTTTCCTGAGTTTTTTTTTTAGTATTGATTTCTATCAGAAGTGTGCGGTTTTAATATACAAATAATTTTGTTGCTATTTTTAGTACTTTCTGCATAATTTATTTCCAATCTATTTTTTTTCAGGAGCAAGATACAAAATAGGTTTTGATTTTAGCTGATTGTTTTTCTTCAAAACCATTACTGAGAGTTGTTTATTTTCCCTCTTTTTTCAGTCACAGGATTTGATCTGTGGGGTGCAGTGGTTGCCACTGGAGTGGTCTGTACATTCTATTGCACGCTGGTACGTTGGCTGTCTGTGTTAAAGAAACCCAACTTCTCTTCAGTACTCGCTCAAAATATGCAACTTCGTTCCCCTAAAAATATCATACAAATACTGAGCTTAAGCTTTAATGAAGGCAAAGGGCCTCCAAAGCATGTATAGAAAACATCGTCTCTATGTGGGTATTTCCACTTCCACATGCAAAGGGCCATGTGACTCATCCATCCCTACTGCAGCATTGTTTGCTTTCCTGAGTAGAGACTGGGCAGATTGGGGACAGGAGAAGGTGCTGCTTAGGAAGATAAACACATCATCCCGCTCCCATCCCTGCAGAGTTTATAGAAATATAGTTCCCCAGAGACATCTCCAGTGGGATTTTCTACAAGTGGGGTTGTTCTGACATGTACCTGAATGATCTAAGTCTGTCTTCATTGAAGCAACAACTTCCTTGAACAATGTGGTAGAAATTCATTCTGTATTTTGCCCAATGTTTCTTTTCTTAGGGTTATATTGTGCTGCTGAATTTTAAGCAGAACTCACTGAAATCAGTGAAAAGTGCTTCTTAAAATTTGATAGTGTATTTAAATGTATAAATGGACTATAAATCATACTTCTGTGACATAATTTGTTTCTATATTTTAAGTAGTACTTCTATAGAAGTCAGTAGGTTGGAGCATAAGAAAGATTAGTGGGTATTATCCATTGTTGCTTTGATTCAAGGAGAGTTGCCTTAGCTGGAAAATTTGTTTAGTTCATTAGAGACTGGTAATTACATTCAACTAAATTGAATATGGATTTAAAATAAAATAGCCCTGGCTCCTACTGTACACCGTGTCTGTTATTCCCCTCACAGGGTGGTTTAAAGGCTGTTGTCTGGACAGATGTTTTCCAAGTTGGGATCATGGTAGCTGGGTTTTCATCAGTGATTATACGTTCTGTGGTGGTTCAAGGGGGAATCCAACGCATTCTAAATGATTCCTATGATGGAGGAAGATTAAACTTCTGGGAGTAAGTTTGCATTTGTTCAAGCTAATGACTCACATAAACCATTATATAGTTGTAAAATGGTATCTGCATCTGTGCTATGGAGACTGTTCAAGTAGGCTCACTTGCTTTTTTTAATGCTACTTTTGGCCATGTAGGCAGGTATAAAGTGATTACTTTGGAATAAAGCCTCTATCAAGGGTGAGTATGGTAATTGGATTTAATAAATTTATTTTTTTCTAGGAAGGCCATCCAGTTTAATGTGATGTTCTAGTTTAAATGCATCCATGCGTTACTAAAACTCTACAAGACCAAATCTTTTAATTTTGCTCAACTTCGTTCTAAGAATATGTATCACTTATACATGTTTCCAAATGTATTGTAAATATAGTTTGGAAATCAATAATTTACAGAAGCAAAATATTGCATTCTAAAAATGTTAAAATATTTTGACATTTTCATTTTATTTTTTCTGTCTGAAACTATTTTTGATGAATAATTTATTTGTGTAAATAATTCCCCCAGATCTAATTATAACAGGTAATTAGTTTGATTTTTTTTTTTTAATCCATGTCCCATGGTAAAAATCACTAAATGAGAATTCATAATTTTTTAAAATTTAAGGCTATTCAAATTTCATCAGTGAATAATTTGCCTACAGATTTTTCATGAATTGAACTTTCCAAACTGCATTGGTGACTTACAGTAGACATTCGGTCTTATTTCTGTTCCTAGACTGTTTTCATTTTAATTAGCTGTTTGACCTGGGAAAAAAAATCTTACCAAATTTTTTAAAAATAATTATTTTAGGGTTTAAAAAAAGGGAATTGTGGCCCAAAATCTTTGAATTAATATTATGTGATTTATGTTGGAAAATTATGATCTGAGTCAAATATACTTTATGATTAAAATACAAAGTGGTTTAGAATAACCTACTTACAGTTTATGCCACAGTACTTAATAGCCATGCTTCACCACACTTAACACCTGGAGCTAAATCAATAAAATGTCATAGAAGAGTTTATTTCAATAGAGGTTGGTTGAGGAAAAAAACATAGTGGTGATTTTCCTCTCATCCATCTTGGCTTAAATCAAGGTAATCACTCATTGGTGTTACATTAATTAAAATGGTGTAGCTGACAGAATAATCGAGCATCTTAACATTTTATGAAAAAAATAGGGTTTTTTGCCAACAGTCCTAGCTCTGATATACATGCCACCTTACCTATGATTGTATTTTACAATCAAAGCATATCACAGGGCTATCCAGTTGGTGACCCATGCAACACATGGCCTGTAAGAGATTAATTTGTGGTCCTTGGGCTCTCATCAGGCCACCACTCTCCCCTATCGCTCCAGCTGCAGCAGCAGCAGAGGAGGTCTCTGGGCTCCCTTCACCCCATTCAGCTTCCACTTCCTGCCCCCACCCTAGGGAGTGGGGTGGGATGGCATAGTGCAGTGCAGCCCACGGTGCTGGTGGATCATGTAGCTGGGGGAACTGAGGATTGGGGCCAGGGTGCTCATAAGGCACAGCATAGCTCCTGTTGGTACAGCCTGAGCAGCATTCAGCCCCCAGTCACTTAGATGTTGAACAGCCCTGATACACCATTCAAAATTTGCCTTCAGGTGTTATTTAGACATATGGGAGTTTTGCCATTGATTTAATGAGGAAGGGAAGAGTGTCATCCCATAATTTAAAATGTGCTTTTCATGTTTTTTCCTATACCTAAAGTTTGAGTGCTTAATTGTTCCAAAGATGCAGGGATAAGTGTCTACATTTGAACAAGTATTTGAGAATAACTTTTCCACTAATTATTGAGCTGTTTGGTAACAAACGGTTAAAGATTTTCATATCCTGAGTCTGTTAGTTTTTCTCTCATTTAGTCTTTTTTTCTCTCATTTAGCTTTAATCCCAATCCCTTGCAAAGACATACCTTCTGGACAATTGTTATAGGTGGGACCTTCACCTGGACTGGAATATATGGGGTCAACCAAGCTCAAGTTCAGAGATACATTGCCTGCAAAACCAGATTCCAAGCAAAACTGTAAGCCTATATGCAGTAAATGAAATTGTTCAGTTTCAGACTTTAACTAATAGCTATACTTCATCAGGAACTTTTTTTTTAATTAAAGGTTTAAATCTATAGATAACTCATTTACAAAAGGTAATAAAAGCCTGTGCTTTCTGCTTTGTGAGCCAGGTAAAAAATAAGCTGGAATGCTAAACACCAATACTTAAATCGGGTGTAATTTGTGGTTACATTCAGTCTTGTTGTTTGCCTGTTTACTATCCTGGGATTGTTGCATACGAATAGCTACCTTATGTTTATTTGCAACCTAATTCTACAGCCTTATTAATGCAATTTTTTGTTCACACCAGCTCTTGGATTTGGTACTATATATGAAACTTAAGTTAGTTAGTAGGAATTTTGCTTGAGTAAGGAGTAAAAGATTTATCCACAAAGGTAGGTATGAGCACGATAAAATGCTGAAATTGATTGTCTAATGAAAGGAGTGCTGCAGAATCATATACTTTATTTCCAGGGTAATTAATAAGATGTAAGCCACTATAGAAGCTCATTATAGATACTGGCAGAAAGGTCTATTTTCCTTCTATTGATTCCCTGCCCCCTCCCCCACAAAAAAACCAAGTTTCTCTTTACCTCTAAACCTGAGCTCAGGATTCCAGGCTAACTCATAAACTCTATCCATATAATTTATAGGAGAACAACAAAGCTGCAAATCATAATAGAATTGCCTAATCAGAGCAAAGGAGAGTATTTTGAAGGTTTTAGCTTTTGAAAAATGTGAACAAAATAACCAGAACAATGTATTTAAAGCAGTGTGTTCAAATGCAAAACATTTTAGGTTACAGCAGTGAGAAAAAAATATTCTGTAGTCAGTTGCATTTATGCATTGAATGAGTTGTGGCATCATCAGTTAGATCTCAAATGCATCATTTTTTGGTTATGTTGCTTTTTTCAGGGTTCTAGCCATTGCAGAAAAGCAGTCTATGTCTCAATGTTGATTGTTTAGTAATGTGTGGGAAACAGTTTCTAGCCCAAGTATTTTGTTCGGGCAATAGTTTCATACGTTGCATTTCAATTGTGCATCATATTGAGTCATCCAAGCAGCCCTTCCTTCAGAACTAATGTTACTTTTTGGAATGCCTGTCTTCCTTCTCACAATGAAATCCTTCGCAGGCATCGTAGAGGTAGTTGTGACTAGAGGAGTCTGGAATGTGGTACCATTGGAGCCATGTGGCCAAGAACTTCAAATAGAGCTGCTCCAAGGTACAGAGCTTCCATGTGGAAGGCCCTCCACTCCCAAGAATCAATGCAGTTTGTAGGACTGTATAGCCTGTCTACATTAATAGCTTTAAGAAATCTAGAATCTCATGACCTTGTCCCTTGTATAACTCCCTTCTGTAAGAAAGGGCAGGCAGGTTCCAAGTCATCTAAACCATTATTTGACTTATCCATGCCTGAAAAACATCACTGTTCCAAAAGGCAAAGTTACTTTACAGCATAACCGTTGTCTCTTCATAACATTTTAGGCACTGGCAGTATGCCATGACTGTGTAGTTTGTTTATCAAAGATTTTTAAAACATGTACAGCAAGAATCATTATTGACCTGTCCCTCTTGTCATTTGCCCTAATGCAAAGTAAATGTAAATTGCTACCATCAAATCAGAATAGATGCATTTTATACCCACTTTGCATGGATGTAAAGATATTACAAAGTGTAAAGCAATAACCAATCTGGCTCAGAGTCTGAATTCTTACACAGATTCTAACCTGTGTTAGGGTTTGGGAATAAATTAAATGACTCCCATAGTAAGGGATGATTCTTTTTTGACTCATCGCACATTCATTCTAAAGAATTACAGGAGTCTCTAGCAGAAGAACCACACCTTCAGAAAATTGCAGGCTACTCATTTACTTCCTCTTATTTTTCCCTCAATCCCTGCCTTCAAATATCTCTTCAAGATGCCATGTTTTGATTACTGGAATTCTAAATCCCCAGTTAAACAACCAAACCAACAGGCAGATAAACAGGTGTTACATGGTTTCCTTAGACACAATACCGATTTTGCATAAAGTATCTACCTAGTATTACACATTCAGAATTAATGGGAACACCTTCCTTTGTTAAAAGCTACAATTATTTTTCTGTGATACTGACATAATCATGAGTGTCACCCTGCACTGGGAGGCCAGTGAGGACAAAAATCAAAGACATTTATTTGCACTTGCTACCCAGACACCAATACATTTTCAAATAAGATTTGCCACTTGCAGCAGCTAATCTTTTGTGCAGGGAGGTGTTTTCTGCCTGTAGTCACTCAGTTGCTAGAAACTTACTTTATTTAATTTTTAGCTTTTGGACATGGGCTAAAATAGTTTATTCTGTCCTACAAAAACATTTGGTTAAATTCTGTATGTCAACCTCAAGTCAATTTAAGAGTGATTTTATATCAATTTAGCTTACGATGGCATGGAATCAACTTAAGTTAAATTGATAATAGAATTTATTCTGTAGTAAAAGTGGGCAGGCACACAAAACACAGCCTTACTTTGGCATAAGACTCTTTTTTGGGGTAAAGTCTAGAAGCAAAAGCCTTAAGAAACCCCATGACAAATCATCTGGAGAGGAGTATTTGGCATGACTATCTTATAGAGCATGCCAGCAAAGGCCTTCCTTATTGTTCCATAACTGGATGGCTGGCACTGGTTAAGCATAGCAAAATAGCATAGTGCATTGACATTACAGGCAAAGAAGTGGTGACACAGGCCCCACACACCCAGTGCATGTTCCTTAAAGATCCCTCTGGGGTTTGTGTACACTTTCTATTTGCCTCCTGACATACAGACATATGCTGAGATATGCAGAATAATCACAACTATCCCATAATCTCTTGACTAGATTCCATTGTGGGACAAACCCTGCTGCTATTGATTATATATTCCCAAGAACATCATATGGGTTTTATATTTGAAAATGCCAATTTATCTCTTTCTGACAACTTAATTGGAGCCAAATTGCAACCCTTTTCCTGGTGAGACCTGAGCAATCCCATTGACCTTGGTATGACTGTAAATACCTGTTCACCCACAGCAGTAAAAATTTATAAATAGCTTCTAGCCTAGTAGCTACTGCATGGCTCATCATCTTTCTCAGGAGTTCCTGTGTTCTGCAGTACTCTACTGCCTTTTCAGTCAAAAAGTTCACAGCATGTAACTGGACTAAACATTGTGTTCCTACTTAACAAGGTTTCTCTTTTCTTTGACTGCCAACCGGGAAGGTAATTCAGGTACAGTAGGATACATTAATCTCTGCCAAGCTTACAGACCTGTGCTTTTTCTCTCTGAGTTCCAAAAGTAATTCTCTAACCTTGATCCTTCCATGTGTGTTTGCATAGGTCTCTCTATATAAACTTGGTGGGACTCTGGGCGATTCTCACCTGTGCAGTGTTTTCTGGATTAGCTCTGTACTCGATTTACAAGGATTGTGACCCATGGACAGCAAAGAAGGTGTCAGCACCAGACCAGGTATATACATCTTTTGCTACATTTAACAGTTAGGGATAAGTTAAAACTGCTGCCCTAGGGCCTGATCCCTAGGTGTTTGGCTGAGCACTCACCACTCCCATGCCTTGGAAATTTAGATTGAGGCCTTTGGGAAAGCTGCATTGAGGAACAGTGTGGGATATACTTTTATCTTCAGTAAGGGAGTGATCTAGTAAAATAACTGGACATAAATCTCCATATGCCCCAGTGACGCAACGCTCAAGTATTTTAAACCCCACAGAAAAAAAAATCATATTATTTTATTTGGGAGAAGAGAAGGAAGGTTTGCATCTTTATGCAACAGCCAGGAGGTCAGAACCCTATGACTTCTCCTTTTCATCTGGGATCTTGAGACAGCTGCAGTGAAGCAAGGTTTGTCTACATAGAGGCACTGTGCCTCTGCTGTACCTTGCACTACAGTCCTCATTAGTCATTCAGGAGACATGCCAGAGTATGCAGGAGGAAAGTGCCTAAATTAGCATGTAGTGAGTCAGGATTATTGAGGTGGGGGACAAACTGTAAGACTGATAGAAAAGCTAGGGGGCAGTGAGGATGGTTTTACAGGAAGTGGGATATTCTTCAGTCCCACCACCTTCTGGTTCTGACCAATAGTTGTAGACACCTATTTTATGACTTGATGAAGGGGACAGCCAGGAGCATAACGCTGTGAAGGCAACTCTTCTTTCTCAGATCTGTCAGGTATGTTGTTTATCCCTCTAAAACATGCCTAGGAACATTGTATATAAATGAGCAACTCAAAACATGGGAAATGTTACAATAAAAAACAACAACATAGAAATGTTTGGCTGGAAGGCACCCCAGAGAAGTTATCTCAGCCTCTAAAAAGTTTAATGAATGATACTGGCTTGACAGTAACCATTAGCCCTTATGTAGTACTGTTCATCTCCAGATCTACAGTGTACAGTTTTTGTTCCTGGATAAGTGAAAAGCAAAGACCTTCCCATGTTTTAAGCATAAGAGATGCCCCAAGAATAGTATTTATGACAGGAAGAGATGAGCAGAAAGTAAACATTCACTAAAAATGTTTCTCCCTTCATTACTCAGGAGAGAATTAGGTTGTGAAATTATGTCGTTTGTGGAGCAGAATCACAAATGGTAGTCAGCCTCTCCAAATATACCCTGGTATATTTATAGAAAGAAAAATGTTCGGAAGGGGGAAACAAATGAAATGTCAGTTTCTTATGTTTAGGAGAGTTATAGATGCTTGTCAAACTGCCTCCATAGCAGGAGGCCAGAGAGGGGAAGCAAATGGTGAACACATGGCAAAGAGCCAGAGGTCAGGCCACATGGTCTTCTTTAAGACCATAGTGAAATCAGGTTTGTAATTGCAAGGTAGATACACAATGCATTCCTTCATATTAACAAAAATAGAAGCCTTAAACCAGGCACTTTGAAGTGATCTGAAAATTTCAACTATAGCAGATGTCATAAAAGCCAGAACAAAAGGGATACTATTCTATTGAATCTGGGACTAGGTGCTTCCAGTATATAGCTTAAACCAACAACAGGAACTGGGATCAAACATGGAAGTGGTTCTCAGCTGTCCTAAGGTGACTGTATTCACAGTGAACAACTTAGGGACCATTTTCTGCAGGATGTCTAGGAATTGAGTAGAACATATACAATAGCACATGTAAAATTTGAATAACTGGGCAGAAGGAAGGCTGAGAAAATTACAAGAAACAAGACCAGAAATGAGGATGACATTATAACATTTCTCAATCTTGGAATTTTGCAGTTAATGCCATACTTGGTACTGGATATTCTGCGAGACTTTCCAGGCGTGCCAGGGCTGTTTGTGGCTAGTGCCTACAGTGGGACGTTAAGGTAAATTAATCATTCTGTATTCCGCAAAATATATTAGCTATGGTTTGTACATCTTTATTGGCATTTAAATTGCCTTTACACTAGGATTTTTTACTTTACAGCGCACTCCAATCGGGGTGTAGGCAGCATATGGAACATGGCACCTGGGGTTGGTGTGGGGCACATGCTGCATGCCCTGCTTGGTGGTGGTGAAGGAGTGCATGTTGCATGTGACATTTGAGGCTGGTCCAGGATGCATGCTGAATGTGGTGCCTGTGCTAGACTAGGCCTGCACACTGAATCTAGCACATGGGGCTGGACTGCAGGCCTGATTCAGCCTGCAGACCAGCTCTGTGCCACTCATCTGACTGACAGGGCCTGATGAGTTTGATACCCCTGGGTTAAATGCAGAATATACTTAAGTATATAGCTTCAGCCCCACTCTCTAATTTGTATCTCAGTTCTACTCCAGTTAACTGCATGCCAACTGCAGTTTGCTAACAGTAACAAATTGTTAGCTGCTGCTGGAACAAGTAAGAGAAAACCACTGCTATTCGAAACCTGGATGACAGGAACTAGTTCATTTTCAAGGCTTCTAATGGTCAGTTTCACAGCTGCTAATATCATGGGATTGGTAGAACTGTAGAATTAATGAACACTGATTGTTTACATAAAATTCAGCTACAGAAATACTATGAAGAAATGAGTAGTCTTTTTTCAGTCCCGAGGCCATGTGCCTAAATGGAGCTTGCTCTTTGTTTTTGTTCTTTTAAGGTGTGGGAGGAAGTGGAGGCTATTTGGCTTGTGGAACCTTAAACATGCTTCACCAGTGGATCATCAAAGCATCTTGACTTGATGTTGTTGATCCTCCCTGCTAATAAATGTCACATGAGCAAAGTGTAGTGATTACAAGCTTCACCTCACCTTGCTACAGAATGATTAGTTTCCTGCTCAAGACAAGCCCCAGACCTGAATATAGAAGTCATAGAGAAGTAGGGCTAGAGGGGACCTTGAGAAGTCATCTAGTTCAACCCTCTGCCTGAGAGGATCATCTCTATCCAAGCCATCCCATACAAATCCATTGTCTAACCTTTCAGTAAAACTACCCAGTCAACTCTGACACAGCACAAGATATAACAACCTAGTTTCCACAGATAGTGTAGGGGGACCACCATGACCAACATCCTGCTGCTGCAAAGGTTGTTAAAATATGCTCAAGAGATCTCAGGAAGAGGGCCGTGCCTCCTGCTACAGAGGAAGGGAAAAACCCCATATCAGTATGAGCACAGGATAAAAATCCTTCCTGATCCAAGTATGGCAATTGGCCTAACCCTGAGCAGAGGTGCAAGACACTTTAATCAGGAACCTCTGGTTTAAGTCCCAGCAGGAGCATTGGCACACCCCAATCAAAATCCCCAGCTATTGCCTACTTCCTGTTCCTAATGACAAGGCATTGTAATAAATACTTATTATGTATAACTACTACTATTCATTAGTTCCCATCTATATGCTTAGGATCCTGGTGTAATTTATATCAGTATGCAAAGGAGGATGGATTATACTGGTGTAAGTATGGCAAGTATTGAGGCCCTGAGCTGGTAAATTCCTCCAAATAGATAGTCACCCTGGGTAGCAACAATGGAAGGGAATTTTCCAACATGCATACTCAGCTTCCAATTTGCAAACATTTATACCTATTTTAAAACTGTTCTGTTCTCCCTCAAAAATTAAAAGTGAAGCTGTTTTGAATTAGTCTCCTGAAAAACAGTGAAAAGTGACTGGACTTCTGGCCAATAACTGAAAGAGCTTCTTAAGTGAGCATGCCTTCTGGCAGAGACCAAACATGGCAAATTTCAGCCCTAAAGAGGAATGTTTTGGATAATCTTGAATGGGACAAGCCAAGGTTTCAATGGAAACTGTGTAAGAACAATAGCTAGAACTGTCACACACTGAGTGACTGTTATAACATTCTGGTTGGGTAATTTCTTTTGGCTCTTAACACTTGTTTCTGTGTAAGTAAAGATAATGATCTAGGTAGTCATGCTGAAGGTGCAAACTGATTGCTTAGGAAAATAATGTATTAATATATTCAGCATTTCCCATTTGGCTCTGTGCATTCTAGGATGATTGACTTCTTGTCCTTCTTAAGAAACCCAATTTCAGGTCATTGCGAGGCACAAAGGACAGGACTAGATAAGGAATAAAAGTACTGCCTAACTTTACAAGCATGCTGTGAAGTTTAGTACATTCATATTTTTAAAGTTTAAGATTCTTAAATAGAAGGGAATGCAGAAGTGCAAAGTATTACAAATCCTGACTCTAAGTGTATTATCTTAATTAGTTTCTCTCGTCTAACTTTGGCTGCTAGTAGATTAAGAAACACTAAAGAGAGGGGAAATACTAGGCAACAGAGTATATTTACCTACAAAGGGAATTTGTCTGATACTTTTACAAATGATACAGGAGTTTCCATGGGTGGATCTAGGATTTTGAAAAGGAGGGTGCAGATGGTGGTATGGCACATCTTCACATATAACACAACATGGTTTTTTTTCCAAATGAAGAAAAACTAGATGCTCTACAAATATGCTAGGGGACTAGCACTCTATTATTAAGTTTAAAATCAAAGCAAAAACAAATATAATTCTTAGAATATGAAGAAATTGCTGGATTATATACACCATATTTTTAAACACAACTAATTAGGCAAAAAGAGTCAAAATAGTGCAAAGATATCATGTAATTATTTCTGTAGTCATTATAGTTAAAATATGTGTCATTCAGATTTATAATACAAAATTTAGCCTTCTTGAGCCTCTTGACAGTGCCTCCAATATTTCACTCAACACTTGAGTTAATATTACCACAACTGAGTTAAAGTTTTTAGCTAGAGCTAACAACAGTCTTCAGGGCTGTGAAACAGAAGGGGGACCTTACCAGCTATGGCTAACAAACAGCAAAATTGCAGATGGATAGTTTCAACAGTGGAACATCAAGACCATTAAAAAAAGGCAAAGAATTGTTAATGCCTTTAGAGTGGAAAGAGATTAGTAGGGATCAGGGAATGATAATGAGCCATGAAATCAACTGATTCTTTCAGCACTGCCTGACTAGAACTGATTCGCTCCTTCCAGGCTATTGGTTTTAAAGTTTGTATGGAGCAGGAATCAAAGTGCGGGATGAGTGCAACTGCACCACTACTACCCCCACTCCCTCCCTCCACCCCCGGAAGTTTCCAAGTCATTGAAAATTAGTTAGACCTGCTTTCAAAAATACTTCAACTATCTCGAACAAGTTCCCTTCAAGTGTATTGAACTCTCATTTGAGCTCAGAATTAGGAGGCATCAAGCTGTGCATTTTATGTCTATACTTGTCTGTACATAGACATGTTCATTTTCCATGTACAACCCAGGCATCTATTTATTTATTTATTCATTCATTCATTTAGATGAAGATTTTCAAATGTGGGCAACTAAAGATAGGATCGTTAGCCAATATGTAGGCTGGTGAATATAAGATGGCCTGGACATAGACAGACAAGGTTCTTTGGGCAAAGCTGATATCTTTTATTAGACCAACTCAGAGATAGTTGGAGAAATTCTTCTTAGCAAGCTTTCAGGTATAAAAACCCTTCCTCGGGCTGAGGAAACATCTGCAGTTGGTCTGTGCTCTTCCTGGATGGAATGAATAGTAAAAGCCTCTGGCTTCTTTACTATTCATTCTATCCAGGAAGAGCACAGATCAATTGCAGATGCTTCCTCAGCCTGATGAAGGGTGTTTGTGCCCAAAAGTTTGCAAAGAAGAATTTTTTCCAATTACTGGAGTTGGTCTAATACCAGATATCAGATTTACTCAAAAAACCTTGTCTGCGCAAAATAGCCAATAATCTGAGATTTACATCTCTCAGTTCTTACCTAGTCAGATGTATGCTATGCATATTAAAGTATCAAAAAGGTTATAAAATTCAAAAATAGCCCTTGATAATAAATAATACATATTCACTTTCTCTCTATGGACTTATCAGATAATAGGCCTGTGCAAAGCAGAAAGTATTTGCTTTGAATTTAGATTCGGCGATTCGGATGGATAGTGATTGGAATCACTGTCCTGATTCAATTTGGCCAAATCTGAATCCAAAAATATTCAGAGTCGAATCTCATTCAGCCATAGACTATACAGGCCAGCAGTGCTGGCAGGAGCAGCTAGGGGAGCAGCTAGACAAGCCCCAGCTTGAGCTGGTGGCCCTGGGAGAAGCTGCAGGAACTGGGAGGAATGATTGGGGAGCTGGGGAATTGAACCAGGAGCTGGGGGGAAGTCTCCGATCATTCCCCCCATTTCCCAGTTCGATCCCCCAGCTCCCAAACATTCCCTCCAGCCCCCGCAGCTTCTCCTGGGGCTGCCAGCACTGCCTGCCTCACCCTGGCGGGGGTGCAACTGGGGGATAAGCTGGACAAGCCACAGCTTCTTCTGGGGCTGCTGGCTTAAGGTGGGGCTCATCTGGCTGCTCCCCCAGCTGCTTCCACCGGCACTGCCTAGTGCCTGCCTGTACAGTCTATGGCCAAATCTTCAAATCTCTCTGAATTGATTCAGAAGCTTCCGAATCAGATTCGGAGAGATTAATGGGTCTCCCGATTCAATGCTGATTCAGAGATTCAGCCACCAAATCAGGCCAAATCTCCTCTGAATCGAATCGACTACTGAAGCTTCACACGGCCCAATCAGATAACTTATTTACCTTAAAACAAGCATTGTCTTCATTGAGAGTGAAGGTAACTATATTTTTTGCAATGTAAATTTTATCTCCTTTGGTAACAATAATATCCACATATGCAATGTTATACATTAAATCTCTCCTAATGTTGCAGGCAATAACAATTTCCCTTTTGAATAATTCCAACTCTGTTTTTTTGAGGGTTTTTGTTGTTGTTGTTGTTTTACTTCAGTTCCTAGGAGAATACACAAATGTTTTAAATTTTGTCTCTTGCAGTACAGTATCCTCCAGCATCAATGCTTTAGCTGCTGTCACTGTCGAGGATCTCGTTAAACCTTACTTCAGATCACTCTCTGAACAGAAATTGTCTTGGATTTCCAAGGGGATGAGTAAGTCTGCAAAGGATATTTTCCAGTTTTCCCTTTAAGAGACAGCTCTTGATTCAGATCTTGTATTGTAGTGCAAAATACAATTGAATCCATTAAAGAAAATGAAACTGCACCTCTGTAAACTGTGTGTAAAATCAAGGAGAGACATTCTAGATAGAATGAAAAAAAAGGCTATTTAAAGTAAGCATGGAAAAGGCCTTCTCATTTGGTCTTTAAGTAGTAAAGTTATATTGCAGCTTTGTTCAATCTAACTTCTTAATACAAAAGAGCCAGAGGTTCCAGGTTAAATTGATGTTATTTTTTCTTTCATCAGTCAGAAGGCAGGTGTATGGGATAAATTTTTTGTTACAAATCACTTGAATGTAGAATGGTTTGGTAGGACAAATGTGAGAAAGTGGACTGCATCATACTGTCATTTGAGGAATCAACAATTCACTTTATGACCCCTGTGATGTACTCTGAAGCCATTAGTCTATTTAAATGCCCCTAAGCAGCCAGTTTTAAAACTTTAGGGACAATGAGTTTTAGGGTGAATATACAGGGTCCAGTTCTTCACTTGGTTAAATTTGCAAAGCTCCATTGTTTTTATTTAACATCTGAAGATCATCTGTATAAATGAAACTCCAACACAGACCTGACTGAAATCACAATGATATTTTATTGCCACCGTGAAACTACTTGAATGGGCACCTGAACAGATGAGGGTGCAAATATGGTATTCTAGACTAGAAAATCATCTTATGACCTGAATGCTCCCACTTTCATCAGCTGACCGCCTTCTGCCTGACACAGATACTGGTACTGCCTCAGTTTGCCTTTGGCACCAGAGAAGGTTAGCTGAGGGATGCAGGGAAGATGAGTGATTTCACCATTGGTTCTCCTTTCTGTGATCCATCTCCTATAAGCCACGAACTATGCAATACCTTCTAAGATGCTGACTTCCAGGAGATGGACAATGTGCAAGAGATCTGGCAGATTTGGCCCACAGCATCCAATAATATTTGTTGGAGAAAACTGGGAGAAGACTATTTCAAAATGATCCATTTAGAAATTTAAAAAAACCCAACCCAAAACAGTGCAAGTACATACCAAATGCTACAGAGTACATCATGCTAGTGAGCACTGTTTCTTAAGCGCTGTTGTCAGTAGCCCTATGCCAACATTTGTTTGCTGTGGGAATGATGACTCACCTGTCTTACTAATATTGTGATGATTTGCCTGATACATTAGGTTTTGGGATTAATGCATCACCACAGTTATTGTCAGGTAGAAGATGGGGCGCAGACAGAAGTTATGTTTACCACATGATTGACCACCTGAAAGTGTTCTACAGCCATGCTGTGACACATGTGTAAGGCTGCAGAGTGCTTTTAAAGTGGCTGATCATGCGTCAAATTAACCCTCATCAATGAGGGATCAGATGAAGGCGCTCCATTTTGGGCACCTTAGGGAACTTGTGTTTCCTAAGGTTAATTTGTGGTATGATCAGGGCTGGGCTGGTACGGAGGAGGACAAGCAAATCAAAACAATGATAAAGCCCTATGGAGCTGAGGAGGAAAAGAGAGATGTCACATGTATTTATGCTGTCCACCGCCCTCTAGTTGTACAAAGAGGACTTAGGGTTCATGTTTCTAATAATCATAAGGCATTTGCACTGGTGTTACAAAACTAAAAAAGTGGGAAGCAAGATGTTTTTCTTCAGAACAAAATGTGTTTATATCCTTGTAAGATATAATGTTTCAATTAATCTTCCATATAATATACAGTAAGAGGATCTTTGTCATGTTTACATTTCCATTCTGAGCCTTTTACTGATTTGGCTGTTCTTAGAAACAATCCTACATGTAGGGTGATTTATTAGGGGTAATACTAGACCACAAGAAAATATTCTCCCCAAAGAGCATTACACTTAACCTAGTTGATATGTTCATCTATCATGTTCATTTAGGTCTGTTTTATGGTGGACTCTGTATTGCTATGGCTGCTTTGGCATCCCTGATGGGAGGTTTGTTGCAGGTGGGTAATGGCTTTTCATCTCTGTGTTATGCTATCTAGAATATATCATTTGAAAGAACAAAACATCAGCTACTTGAATTGTATTAAATTTAAATTCTTGAATGGGAACTTACCTTGAAAATTCTAGTGCCAGATTGTCAGCAGGTATAACCCAAGGTAGGTCATCAGTAGCACTCTGTCAGTTAACACCTGGTGAGAATTAGGCCTTGAGGTAGCCTTGAACCCTTTACTCCAAGTACTTCATTTTTGTCCCCCAATACCTCATGTGCCTTATTGAGGGTTTCAGTTTTATGGTGTGATACCTAATACAAGATTTTATTCTTTTCTCAGGCAGCTCTCAGTATTTTTGGCATGGTTGGTGGCCCTCTTCTAGGTCTGTTTTCTCTGGGAATCCTTTGCCCCATCACAAATCCCCTGGTAAGTTCAAGTTCTGAGTCGTACAAAATTCATAAGTCATTTGGAGAGGGTTAGGGATAGTTTTCCCCAATAAATTGCTTTATTTCATGGAAAATGTTTCAATTTGTTATTTTTCTATACATAGTGGAAGAATAGTTGGGGTTTTTCCATATGTAGTACCCCTCTGATGTAATAAGTAGGGAACTGGAATATCTGTCATATGGTAGATTTCGCATCTCTGAATCTTTTTGTTTCATTCTCAGTTGGAAAGAAAATGTGGAGATGTGACATTTCCCACAATACAGAGATAATTGGAAAATTCTGTTTCTGAAGAACTAGGGGACCAGGCCAGACCCCAGACAAGTAGCTGTGCTGTTAACCACATGAAGGCCAGGAAACCTTTTTGCTTAATAAGTGGGCAGGATGGGGAGCCAACCACCTGGGGAGCCCATCTACTTGCTCACAACATAGGGAACCCAAGGAGCCAGTCAACATGGGAACCAACTACTCAGCTCTGTAGATGGCCTGGAAAATCAGCTGGCTTGAGAGCAGGGTACCTTTGTAGTGTGCCAGGAAAAAAGGATGACTAGGGATTTCAGTGAGGCAAGCTGATCATGTTCTTCTAAAAGGTTTTGATTCCATCAAATCAGCACTTTCTGGTGGAAAACTGTTTGTTAATATTTTTTTTATTAGCTTTAGTAAAATAAGGTTAATAATTTAGTCTGAAAAGATTGTTAATAATGGTAAGATGCACTAATTAGTTATCTTTCCTCTTTACTTACCTGTCCTTGTAGAATTACTATGTTGTGTACAAAGCATCCAAAAGAAAGAACTTGTTGTTACATCATAGAGCAATAACATTTGTCCCATAGTTATAGTTTAAACTAAGATTCCACTAGTTAGTTAATTTTGGCTGGCTCCTCCTAAATCCACAAAAAGTAGGTTACATTTAAAGGGTAAATATAATGATATTTTTTTTCTAAACCAAAATGAATTAGACACTGGGCTCCTGAATGAAGATACTATGTGTAGGACTCCTGGTTAACACCTAAAGTCTAACTTTTTTCTGCTTTGTAGCAAAAATCACAGAAAGTAGGGGAAGTTATTTCATGGGATTTCCTGCAGCTGACATTAAGGGCTTGATAAAAGTGTAATTTCAAATACTTCATATTTGAAACACCTCTATATCTCGGAAAAAAAACTAGGTTAAATTCATCCCTGTTCAGAGAACCAAGAGCAATGCTTTCTTAAGTCCCAGTTAATCTCCAGTGAGTTCTTATCTGGAGTAGGAACATAAACTCTCATTGATTTTAAAGGGTGTAGAAGCAGTTTTTGTACACCAGGCTCTGGCAACCAGCAGTACTTTTACAACTACTTCACTTAAATTTCCTAGGTTTAATATTCTTGTTCAGATCTTGAAGGCAAATTCTTGTCTTTGGGAAAGACAAGTGGGGCCTAAGCTGGGTTTCCCAAAGTGTGGCCTGCGAACTATTTGTTCATGGCCTGCAAAGGATTTTTTTATTTTTTTTAAAGATGACCATCCTTAACAGAATTAGGTGACTGGCAAGGCTGAAGCCATTTACTGTTCAGAATTGTAATTGACTGACAGATAGGAACAGCCCGGTACTTCACCTTGTTATAACTTGGATCTATAAGGAATCTTATGTTTCATTTATCTGAACATAAAGGTATTGCATTGCAGCCTCATTTTGTTATGTGCCCCCTACATCATGTTCCACCCTTAAGGGGTCCTCCATGAATAAAACTTTGGGAACCTGTGCTCTAACAAAATTCTTTGTCTTCAGGAAAAACACCAGGGGAAAAAACAATTGTGAATTTTCTGCATGTGCTCTAAGGAGAATGTTCAAATAAAATATTAGCAGATGTACATTTAAAAAAAAGATTTATCTCAATAAAACAAAAAACATTTCTGACTTCATAGACAGACCTAGCTGAACAGAAGATTTTTGAAGTGACAGGCTAAGATTACAAAAATAGTTATTCATACTTGGGCCTCACAAACAAGTTAGCATGAGGTATGTTATGCACTGCACATGAGCCATTCTGTAGTAAATAACTGTGCATAATTTTCCCCCTTCTATTTGACTTTCACTGCATTTACCATGGGGTACAGGTATGTATGTATGTATGTACACAGGCATTTGCCATGGAGTGGCTGATGCCCAGTAAGTGCACACACTAATTTATCATGTAGATATACCCTACATTAGATTCAAGTACCATATTTTCTCGCATGTAACACACAGCTTTTTCATCCAAACCAACTGATGAACATTGGGATGTGCATTATATGCGAGGAAACTAGGTCCCCATGGATCCAAAAATTTTGTGGTGGAGGATTGGTACCAGCATTAATAGCCATAGCTCTGGGAACCATAGCAATTAACACTGCCACTGCTCTCCCACCACCAAATTTCCAGACCCATGGGAAACACCTTGGCTGGATGACATGGCCCCATGTGCTGGATTGGGGTGGTGAATGGTGTGAGGCTTGGTACATGAGGTTGGACCTGGCAGCCCCAAACCCTGTGCATGGGGTTGGACTTGGCACATGGCCCCAGACACAACATGTGGTGTTGGATGTGGCATACTGGGTGCATATACACATGATGCTATGTCACTGTAGCAACGTGCTATGGTGATGTAAAAAAACATGATGCCACTGCTACATTGCCGTAGCAACGCACTCCCTTGATATAGCATGTTGCTACGGTGACATAGGGGCTAAAAATAACTGTGCACCGCTGGCATGGTGCAGCACGGGTTGTTACTGCATTATCATGTAGTACTTCCAAAACAATGGCACCGTAGGGTACATGTAGATGCACCCACTGGGTCAGACCTAGTGCACGGGGGTGGTGAGAGGGCCCCAGTTGGTGTGCAGGGTGGCAGGAGTCTCACCTCCCTAGCTACTGCTACTCAGTTTCTACCAAGAAGATTTTTTTTCTTCATCCTGCTTCTCAAAAACAAGTTAAGTAAAAATGGGTGTATGCTGTATGTAAGAAAATACAGTATTACGGTATCTAAATAAAGTGGCTTGATTTTCAAATGTTGCATACTCGGTAAGTCCATTATGAAACTTAGGCTGCTGAAATGGAAAACTTTGATGCTTTTTTTCTGTTTCTTTTTGTGCATCTCTTGTGTTTCTCTCATTTTGCAAGTAAATGAACTTTCACTTTGTTTTTTTTGCAGGGCGCATTTGTAGGTCTTCTAAGTGGCTTTGTTGTATCTCTCTGGGTTGGAATTGGAGCTCAGATTTATCCTCCTCTCCCTGAGAGGACTATGCCATTAAAGCTTACAACTATAGGCTGTGAGACAGAACCACTAGGCAACTGGACTGCAACAATGGCCATGCCAATTTTAACAACACTCTCACATGCTCCAGTCATAGAAAGGTATACAACAATGCTGGCATGTGAAGCATAGCACATGTCTGATTTGAAGTGATGTGAATGTCTGTCTAGCAGTTTGGTTATTTAAGAAATCCTCCTTGGGTTAAGTTACTTTTCTACTTGGAAGAAACCACGTTCTCTTTTGTGCTTCACAGGGATGGTGTCTTATCCCAAACCCACAAATCCTTCTGTTGGCTTCAGTGGGCTTTAGATTAGAACCAGTCTGACAGTCCTACACTGGGAAGTAGTTTACTTATGCATTTTGCATAGGCACAGGGGACTGCTGTGTTTAGTGGATTATTTACCATGATCAAAGTTCTGTTTTACCATCAAAGCAGGTCAAATCTGAAAGTGGGTAGGGTGGGGTTTACATGCTCTTGGTAAATCTTCCAGTAACGGTTTGTTCAGCAGCATCAAACCTATGCAGAAATAAGTAGCTACATTCAGCAAAATCAGGAGAATTAGTGGAGCTGGGAAAAATGCTGTTCCTACCCCTCCCACAGCCATCATAGCCTCTTATACAATGTTAACATACAGTAAAAAGATTTAAAGAAAATACATTAAATTCAATAGAACAATACCTGCAGGGCCAACGGCTGGGTTAAAAATTCTAAGTGTCAATTCTTATGTCTTGGTATAGAGTTAGCATTAAGCCAGAGACTCCTTTTGCTAGCTGATCTGCTACAAATAGTTGCTTCGAGTTCAGGGTGGTTGACTAGTTACTCTTTTACTTCTCACATGGAATATAAAGCTTCAGAGAATGAAAGGTAAATTTTTCACCTCCCCCATAAATCTCAGTGCCAAGTATGCACCATTAACTGGTTATGTTTTGATGATATCAGTAAAAATACACGGCCAAGAACTTTGGTCAGTGTCCCTCCAGCTGTGGTGTGTGGCAAAGAAACTCAAAATAGGATAGCAGAAGCCTTGGACTGGTGATTCTCAACCAGGGTGCTGTGGTACTCTGGGCTGCCATGAGATACTCGTAAGGGTGCTATGGGGTGCCACGCAGTATTATCACTGTGAGGTGTGCATGATTCATAAGATAAACCAAGAGATTTCAAATAGGAATCCACCGTGTCAAAATATTCTGACCTTTTGGGGGTCTTTCTCAGTTCTTTGCAACACAATAATTGCTCTATTATTTTTCTATAGTCAAAAAATGAGTGAAAAATAAGACCTGGCATTTTGCTAGGAGTGCTTTGAATGTAACAAGGGGGGCCTTGAGTGTACCATGGTTGAGAGCCACTGCTCTAGATCTACAAAAAGGATAGAGTAGTTCATACCTCCACACCTCACAAGTGGCTACTGGATGTGGCATGGTCCCATCTGGAAAAAATGGGTTTTGCAGTCAGAGTCTATGCTTGCACTTAATGAGAGGGGTGGAAAATACAGAAAAAAGGGGCAGTAAAGCAGCTTTTAGTCCTCTCCATCCTTTGCATGGATAGACTGGACTCTTAAGTTTTGCTTAGACTTCCTAGTAGAAACACAAGAACTTCTTGTTTCACTGACTGTGCCGCATTCTTACACCTTACAGCCCAGACTCCTCCCCAGTAAGTAAAAGACTCACAAGCTTTTTAAAAAAATGCATATGAGTGTATCTGCAAGTTTAGCATGTAGGTTGTTATTTTTAAAGTGGTCTTAGCACAGCATTCTCCTTATGTTATTTATTGTCTCTGTTCATAGCTTTATATTTTCAAGTCGTCTGAGAAAAAAAACCCAACTTGTGTTCTCTCCCTTTTTCTAGACCTGTTCTAGCTGATCACTGGTATTCCTTGTCCTATCTGTACTTCAGCACACTTGGGACTCTGGTCACAATAGCAGTGGGAATAATTGTCAGCCTTTTATCAGGTATGTTTGTCAGAGTTTGGGTTCAAGATGCATTTAAATTCTTTCCTGAAGTAATGTGAACTGTCCACAACCATGCTAGTAGAAATTTCATAAAGGTTTCCATCCTAATGCCCTGTTTTAATTCACTCTTCTCTTCGGCTGAAATTTCACATACTTGTTATCTGCCTACAGGTGAGATTTCTTTCCCCTCTGAAGCATGAGGAAGCAGATTCAGCTGTTTTTGAGCCTGAGAGGATGGGGTGGGGAGATACAATACATTTTTTCCATTTTATTAAGTCTTAGCAGGGGCAGGGGTTTGACAGTTACCACTGAACATGCAGATAATCCTGACAGGAAATATGCCATTCTTTCTTCCTGAGGACAAAAGCTTTGAGCAAATTTAAAATGTTAGAGAATGATGAACAGTGCTCATTTTCACTTAATTTGCTAATCACGCACCCAAGGAATGACTCACTCTATATTGCCACGTTAGTTGCCCACTGAAATATCTATGGAGCCCGAGGGCAAGCAGGACAGTTTGCAGCTGAGCTCAAGATCCAGACCTACTTTTCATGTTGTTCTCAGGAAAATCCAGACAGGGCCTATTATCCAGTTTGCACATGGCTGAAATAGCACAGAAACAGCTTATTTCACATTTCCAGGATTTTAGGTGAAAGTCTCATGAGAACAGCTCACAAGATTTGGGGGCTGTTGCTTCCTAAATTGTATTTAACCTAACTCAAAGTTTAACCTAGTATAGATTTGAACACCACCTCTTCAGTCCCCTCTAAGGTGGCATACATTTGACCCATTGTATGGAATGGTTTTCATGAGATTCTTGTCTGTAAGAGGTGAGGAGAATATGCTCAGCTGTATTAGTTTTTCCACCTTCCTCTCCTCCCCTGTCTCCCTTTCACTCCCTTCCTCCCACCCAATATTCCTCAAACATTTTCTGGAGTCCCTGGGAACTATCTGTCATTCCTCATGTTTCATAGTATGACAGCAGTCCTTAAGATAAGGATGTAGGAGATTGGACACCCAGCTTTCTCCTCAAACTATTGACCATAGAAATCACTGCAGTATAATGTGGGACAACCCCCCATGATTAAGAAAGTTGCCACTTGGGGAGTGCAGGACTAAGTCTGAGCCTCAAACGGAGGGCACTGACAAAAGTGACATTGTGTCTCGTGATTGGCCCCCCTGAAGTGCTCAACAGCTGTGCCCTGAGAGAAATGCATGGCTGCAGGGTGCTTCAAAAGTGCACGATCACACAGCAAATGAACCCTCATTACATGAGGGTTCAGGTAAAGGTGCTCCAAATTGGAGTGCCTTCATTAACGTCTGTCAGCAGGGCTGAACTGATGCAGCTGAGCTCTGCCCTTGCCTGCTGCTGTCTTCAGGATGGAAGTGGGGAGAAGGGAGGGGAGGGCACTCTTGCCCAGCCTGTGCTGGAAGGTGTGGTGGGTGGATTGGAGCCCCCAGAGTGGAGTGCTCCAATCCACCTGCTCCACCCTCCAGTGCAGGCTGAACAAACCCCAACCCCCCTCCCATCCTGAAGACAGCACTGGAGTTTGCAGGGGTGTGGGGCAGGGAAAAGCTAGCAGAAAGAGGCAGCTGTCATGAAGCCAGGTCAAGGGGATTGTTGGCAGGCAAGATTCTTTGAGTAGATGTGATATCTTTTATTAGACCAACTGAGTAGTTGGAAAAAAGTTCTTAGCAAGCTTTCGGGTGCAGTCACCCTTCTTCAGGCATAGGGACTAACACGGCTACAACCAAAAACCCAGCAAGGGGATTGCTGTAATTCATAGTGCTTCCTGTAAAGCGGGGAGCTGCACATCTCTCAGTGCCCTTAATTCCTACAGATGGTAGCACTTTGGGCTACTACTACACCATCAGGCTGGTTGCAGACACTGAATGTTACATAAAACGTAGGCTCCTTCTGCTGTTTTTGGCTAGCAGATACTTGATTTTTTTCCTCTTCTGACACAAAAAGCATGCACCTAGAGTATGTCCCTAAGGGACAGACATCACAGGGATAGTTAACAAGCTTCCAAACACAGCCGTGGCATCCTTTATACTCCGGTACCTGATAGATCCGAGTGATACTGGAATATGTGGCTGATGCAACCTGAGGAAACAGCTTGTAATTGCTTTTTGCTGCTGCCTCTACCCAGGGCATCAAGATGGGGCAAGATCAGGCAATTAGAATTTGGTATACTGTTATCTGTAGAATAAGAGGTACCAGGTTAAAAACTATTTAATAGAAAATTTAATACTGTGTCTATTTTACAGGAGGAAGGAAGCAAAATATTGACCGCAAATTACTGGTGACAAAAGAGGACTTCCTGTCCAACTTCGCATTTTCTAAACCTGAGAAAGTAAGTATTGTTATGTGCAGATCCTACTTTGCCTCCACCAGGTCTTCACTCCTGGAGAATGGACACAAATTCACCAGGGGTTACATGTTCTAAAAAAAAAGTTTTATTGTTTAATCATTTATTGATCCAGGTTTTGTCCTTTCAACTTGGTCCTCTGCAGAGGTCAGCCTTGGTCATCACAAACATAGAATTTACCCAATAAACACCCCTTAAGAGGAAACACTAGCTCTAATAATGTAGCAACATTGGAGTCAGAAGCCAAAATACTTCAACAAAGCTTTCCCAGGGGACTAAATTTTGTCTTTATACTTTTCCTGACTGGCTGACACAGTTTGTCATGACTGCTTCATTTAAGCAGCAGCTGTCCACCAGACGGGGTCAGGGTAAAGCAGCTGGTATCTATATCTGGCCACAGCAGCAGGTGTCTGACTTCAGTGAGTAGCAGATAAAAGAAAGAACACCTGCTCTCAGAAGTTCAGCATTCTGCTAGGGCACTCCTAGGTAACCTCTCAGAATGAGGTACATAGGCTGCTCTGAGCACTGAAGTGTCCTTTCATAGATAAATGTTAGACTTTTTTCTCTTTTTAAATTACTAGCTATAGCTTGAGCGGGGCGAAATTCCCCACCACCTGTACGGTCTAAATGGCAGCCTCTCCTGCAAAAAATTAAATATTTAGAAGAAGTGTTGAATAGAATGGAGACAAACATCTCAAGAATAAAATCAGATTACAGTACTAAAGATCAACACTTCTTAAAGAAAGACTACCTTGCTGGCTGCCACATTTGGCAGTGCTATATGCTAGTTCATACCTGTTGCATAGAAATAAACCAATAACACCTTCCTCTCATATCCATGAAAGAATTAGACTTTCCAGTCAGTGGAGAATGCCTTAACTTACTTACCCTGATCGTGGAGGGGCAGCTCCTCTACTGGTTTAAACTGACATACTTCCATTGACTTTACTTGAGCTCCAGCAACTGATCAAAGATGGCCATCTGGGCCCCAGCTCTAGAAACTGTTGTGACCCTTCACTCTTATAACCCCATTGAAAGTGACTGGTCATCGCTGTGAGTAGAGTGTTGTCAATTTGGCCCTCCTAAGTTAGAATAGGTTTTATTAAGACCACTATTACAGTGATATGCTATTTGCCCAATGCACTGAGTTAAAAGTAACAGCAAAAGCTGCCACACTGGGTGTCACATGGCAATAGTCTTTTTTAAAATGATCCAGTGTTCAGACCTTTTTCCTGTTGTGAAAACCCTTTGTGTTGAGATGTTGCACATTTTGGAAACTAAACATGTGCAACAGGGACAGATTTTTTAATAGATGATGCATGTGATTCATCCATGTAGAAACCATGGGCCAGATGTTCAGATGAAATAAATAAGGGGTGCTCAACCTCTGGCCTGTGGGCCAAATATGGCCTGCAGAGCCATCACATCTGGCCCATGGGGCTCCCCATAAGTATGGAAATTTGGCGGCCAGGGGGCAGTGGCAATTGATATTGCCACCCTTTCCCCTACCAAATTCTCAAACCCAAAACCCCATGTAATGGGTTGGAGCCAGGCCATGTCCTGGACCTGCTCCCTCCCCTCCACAACTGAATTGGACTGGGCCACACCCCCTTCCTCCTAGAGACTGGATCAGGGCTGGGCCATGTCCCCTTCCCCTCCCCCTCCCCACCACAGCTGGAGGACTGGGCTGGGGCTGAGCCATGTCCCCTTCTCCTGATAGGCTGGATTGGGGCCAGACTGCTCATGTCCCCCTCAGTGGGGCTGGATGGGGCCTGCTGCACTCATGCTGGTCACCAGATGGGGTCTACTGACTGAACTGAGCCTGCGGATGGACTGAGCACTATTCATTTGGTTTGCTGACCAAAAAGATTGAGCACCACTGGTGTAAACTACTGTAGGTCCATGACTTTAATACACCTCCCCCAGATCAAACTACCTTAGGATGTGCTTCTCAGCCAGTGGACAGAGTGAATGTGGAAACTCATGCCTACAAATTAAATGGGCAGGATAACTTCTGTTTGTGCCCAGATATAAGTATTTGCCTTGTATAGCTCAACATAGCTGGTGAGTTGGGGAAAGGATGCCTATTAATGCACCAATCTAACTGTTGAGAAAAAAGTGGGGGTGATTTCCATTCTGCCTGAGCGACAAGGATCTTCAGTTTAATTCAAGTTAGATTTAATGAAGAGGAATATGTTAAAGCAGGAAAGCCAGAAACCTGATTTTCACTGATGGAATGCAGTTAGGCATGAGGCTTAGCAGACAGCATGTCATGAAACTGGGATGACAAACTGCTATACAGCAATACAGTTGCTGTTATTTGCACACAGAAACAATGTCGGATACATTTTGAATGACAATAACAATGCTCAGATTGAAACCCACTCATCCTCTTCATATATGAAGAAACATTCCAAAGATTACTGTGAGCATCAATTTACGGTTTTTCTGCAGTCCACTTACATTTACATTTTCTACCTGCTAGATAAATGCCCAGCTCCAGGTCTGATTCTTTTTCCACGCCACTACAATTCTCTTGACTTCAGTACAGATATTCCTTATTCACACCAGTTTATAGCTGGCCTGATATAAAGCATAGAAAAGATTCCTACTGAGAGAAATGGGCTTTGGATGTATTTGGCCCTCAGAAAAGAGAACAAAAGGTTCTCTTTTTCTCTTGACATAACCCAGAAACAAAGCAGAAGCAGGTAAATAAAGGACATAGTTGCTTGGCATTTATTTTTAAAATAAATGTTCTTGCTCCACAAAATCCCCTTAAATGAGGCAAAGTAAAATATGCTGCCTTTGCTCTTTGCAAACTCTATTTTCTGCACTGTAAAGTCGAACTGTCCACCCACCCTATCTTAAATCAATACTAAAAAATGTGTGCTGTCCCTGAATTTGACTAGTAACCCTACTTCCTTTTTAGCTTTGACTTTTATTTGAAAAATGTAATGTAAGGGAGAGGGGGGGGGTTGTAATAAAAAATGAAAATGTTTAAACTCAAGCTTAAAAAAATTAAGGGACTATAGCTCATTTATACCTAAAAACTAAATTCATATTCACCTTGAGGCCCCATTATGCTGTCAGCATTGTGCAGTAGGACCTTGGATTATGTCTGCCTGCTACAAGGCAATGCCACACCGAGGTATTCTAAGGCAGTTGTGAGTGTGCCATCTCACATACTGGAATCTACATGATGCAGGGCAGCACATGCAGAGATATGTGAGCCACCTCAATTTCTTTTAGCCCTGATACTGGAACCTGTGGATCTGTGCTAGTGCAGTGTTGCACCCAGGCTATGAAGCCCTGCTTCTCAAAAGAGGTAATTAGCCTGGGTGTGTGAAAAAGTTTTTTGGATCGCTATGCCTGACTAGTCAGTGCTGTGTAGACATGCCCTTAGTCCACACATGTTGGATTTTGAAACATGAGTAAGTTCCATTAAAACTCATTGGGACTTAGGGTCTTGACACAGTTAGGTGATCCTGTACTTTTCTCAGCGGTAGCAGATGAAAGAACAAGGACCAATGGTTTCAAGTTGCAGCAAGGGAAATTTAAGTTAGATATTAGGAAAAACTTTCTCACTAGGAGGGTAGTAAAACACAGAACAGGTTACCCAGAGAGGTTGTGGACTTTCCATTCTTGGAGGTTTTTAGGACCCGGCTAGAGAAAGCCTTGGCTGGGATCATCTAGCTGGGGATGGTCCTGTTTTTAGCAAGGGGTTGGACTAGATGACCGTCTGAGGTCCCTTCCAACCCTAAGTTTCTATGATTTTCTGTGATTCTATGTCTCACCCAGTAAAAACCACTCAATACATATTTTAAAACTTCTTTTTCTTTAATTGTCTCCCCTACAATGTCAGAAACACCATACTTCCTCCAACTTTCTCCTTGTTCCATTTACTCTTTTCCTGGGTCTCACTCTTATGCATTTCCTTTGAAAATAATTAATGTTCACTAACATGTTTTGTAGCCTCATTGTAGTAAGTACCGTATCTGTGGTCTGTGCCACATTTACATTAAGAAGAGAAAGATAAAGTTTCTCAGCTGTGAGAAGATCAGGAAAATGCTTAGAGAAGTGATGCATCCTCTTGAATTAGGCATTAGGCAAAAAGAGGCCAAACCTAAGATTATGGAAGATAGTTTAGGGGAAACGTTTAGCAGGAGTCAACAGGGATAATATGTGTGTGTGTGCACACGTGCATGCAATGCATATGCGGGTATGTGTGCATGTGTAAGAGAGAGTAAGAGAAAGATACTTTGGACCTAAGAATATCACAATATAAACTCTTTTTCAGAAGGAGAAAGTGGAAGTTTTGAACTGGAAACTTCACAATCTGGCAGATGAAGGAATCGACAATCCTGCTTTCAACCATATTGAAATGAATTTCACAGACAATAAAGAGAAAGTCAATGGCATTCATATATGACCTGGTGCCATGGAGCTCTTACCTACAAACATTTTAGTTACTGTTTTGAAGACATTGGTGGCATTTCTGGAAAGAATTAATTTACCTACTATACCTCTGGTTATATGCAAGAATCCTTACCATGCTCCATGTCTTCACCACATTGGAATAACGTTAAGATTAAGAAGAATTTCAAAAAAAGGAATCAGGTGTCTCTTATGTAAGTGGTCTTTAATGCAGGAATTCAGAGATTTTCTGTATGAAATCATTTTTGTGTGGTCTCCTGTAAAAATATTTGCTTAAAATCTCAGTTAATTTTCAGAGTAATATTTTAAAGGAGGGCATTCAATTTTCGCAGACATGGCTGATCATCTTAATGATCTGTTCCATACTGAAGCTACGAAGAGGTCTATAGTTCGTTTTTAGAATGAAGGAAGCAGAATTTAACATTAAAAATATCTTTCCTTGTAGAAGTGCTGACCCTGAGTACCTACTGGCCATTTTTTTATGAAGATAGCCATTGCTGCAGTATCTGAGCACCTTGTAGGCAAAGCATTCAACCGCAAATATGTGGGGAAGTTGCTTAACCCCATCTCTTCAATGCCAAGGCTGAAGAGCTGGGCTAGACCTTAGAGAGTTTGTTAGAAATGTTTAGAGAAAAGGTCCTTCCTCATCACCCCGCATGCCCCGAAGCAACAACAGAGCTAATCAACTCAGGATTTTTGATTATTAGATCAGATTTTTTGCATAGCTCGTAGGGTGTGAAGGGAACTCTCTACCCCTTTATACCCACAATGTGTATGATTCCATAGGTAGAAAGTTACAAAATAGTAGGGTTTTTTTGCTATGTGCAGACCCGCTAGCATAATTCATGGGTTAATTCAGTGCTTTTCAACTGTGGTCAGCAGACCCCTGGGGATCTGCAGACTATCCAAGGGGTCCGTGAAAGATGACTATCATCAATCAAAAATATGTGAACACCCACACTTACAATTCAAAGGGGTTCGCACTTCCATTCAAAATTTTCCATAAATGAAAAAAGGTTGAAAATCACTGGGCTACTCAATGTTGCCTAGCACCTTGGGTAGCAACCATTTACACTTTTGCAAACTGAGTATAAAATGCTACTAAATATGAGCTGTAAGTACAATCACTCAATTAAGTCCAAGCCAGAATAGAACATGTCTAGAATTTTACAGGTGGGAAAACCTCAGTGCTCAATTCTGTGTGAGAGTAAGGGGAATCTGGCTGCTATAATTTACTGAACCCTGTCCCAAGTCCACCTATAAGCTGAAGTACAGCTCAGAAACCCTGTAGCACTGTGCACTGTGGGCCTTCAATTTACCTCCTATTCATTCCATATATATACTGGGGTCTTCAAGGGGAGCAGTATAAGGCCACTAACAGCATAAAGGAAAAGGGGAGTTTGTATGGTGGCCTTATGCTGCTCTGTGGAGGAAAGGGAATTTTCTCCTGCCCCTGTAGCAACTTGCTTTGGTACTCACTTAGAGCAGGGAACAGAATCTGTCCTCCACTGTTTTTGAGCCACTTGGCAGTTTACACCTACGTATTTTGTATAATGCATATTTAAAAATGTATTTTGTATTATATTCTAGGATATTACATTTATGTTGTATTAGGATAATTTTGGGAAATAAAAGCCATTATAGAACATCCTTTTTGTGTGATCTATGAAGGCACCACCCAGTCAAACTGAGGTTAAAATTCTGACTGTAATTTTAAGATACTTACTAAAAATCATAGTGAAGACAGGCTGGAACAAAAACTGGAAGAACATGGGTCACCTGGCATAAGTGACCCTCATTCCATTGAAGTCAATGGAACTGTGCCAATTTACATAAGCCAAATCTGGCCATTTGTAGTGTTTGCGATCAACCTATTTTACGTGTGTGCAGTGACAGAAAAGAGCTTAATCATATGATGCTCCATGAGGGTTAATTATTCTTATTAGTGTGCCTCCACTTGTTTTGTTTGTTTGTTTGTTTTGTTTTGTTTTGTTTTTTAACTATTGCTGTGCTGGCTTTTCTCTTCAGACGTGAAGAAGAGTGTCTTACATTTGAAAAATTGCCTAATTCTATCTTAGCAATACATTTGGTCCAATAAAATATATCACCCAAAGAAATCCTTGCCTCTCCACTGATAAAGAAATAGAACATCACATTTTAAAAGCAGCTCACATATAGTACATTTTAAAAATTAACTCTTAACATGGCACTTTTTATTCAAAGATGTGAAGGAAGGAAGGAAGGAAAGTCTCTATTTTCCAAAGAGGACTGAGGCATGATGAAGTGATTTCTCCAGTCGTCTAACAAATCAGTGGTAGGCTTGGAGTAGAAACCAAGTCTCCTGTATTCTATCTAATGACTCAAGTAACAATACTGCTACTGTTTGTTTAGAAATGTTGGGCACTTTTACACACACTCTGGGGGTGATGTGGGGCAGTACTTTAATTAGAGCAGCTCCGAGAGCCACTCTAATTAAAGCACCACTGTGCCTACTGTTTCAGCGTCCCTGTGCTGGAAAATGGCGGTGGGGGCACTTGAACTGAAGCTTGCTTGCTTTGCCTCTGAAAAATTGTGCCTAATTCAAGTTTATTGCCATTTAAAGCCTCCTGTGTAAATGACTGTGCCACATCTGTTTTGATACAAGTCATATCCTGGACCAATCAGCACCGTATTAAAACAGTTGTCTATGTTTAGCCCAAAATATTACCAATGTGCACTTCATTGTATTATTCTACACTGAGATAAATGTTTGTATTTTATTTGATACTTGATTAAACTGTTGCGGGTCTCCTTTGACATTATTCTTTATCATGGAGTCATATTTAAATCAAACTATTTTGTGTGTGTGTGTGTGTGTGTGTGTGTTTGGCTCACAGTTTTTTCTTTCAATTTTGTGGCTTTAAATACTTTATTTAAGCATCCTAAGCCAGAATCAAGCCTATATCACTGCTTTTCCCAGCAGTAACATGGGGAAGGCACCCACCACTGCTGCTTTTCCCTGCCACAGCATGGGAAGCAACTGCTCTCAGAGCTCCACACTGCTGAACACAGCAGAAGCTCCATGTCCCTGAGCTGGATCTGGCCCATGGGCAATGGGTTGATGATCCCCATCTGAAGCCAATAATCTTGTGGCTTAATGCATTTAAGTGTAAACATGACACAAAGCTAGGGTTTCAGTCAAATAATCTCCATGGACCCAATGTTTAGGCCACTAGATCAGAAGCAGATGATGCAAAACAGTTACAAAAAGGCTGAGGACATGGATCTGAAGACTTTACACATAAAGGACATATACCAAAAATGCTGTACAACAATAATAATGCCCTTGCAGCACTTGCAGCCCTGATTCATCTGCCCTTTTCACTGAGATACTGCCAGTGCATGAATTAATGCTGGACATTTCTGTATTAAGATACCTGATTTATGGTGTAAGCCTGGGACTTGTTTATTCCTGTTCTTATGTAATTACTTCAGAAGACTACTTGCAGGAAAGTCAAACTAAGAATAGGCTATATTTTTTCAGGGGTAGTTGGGATGCTAGAAGTGATATTGTAAGGGATAATAGAAAAATCTTATTTAAGTCACAGCAGGTAGAGAAATCCATCAGAGTAGAGGAAATATGAGCTTGTAGAAACCTTAACTGCTTCTTTGGGATGGTTTCCAGTCTGTTGATCTGGAGCATATGCCTTGGCCTTGAAGAGGTACACATTTGGGACTGTGCATGGGCCCATGGGGTACCTGGTTTATTTCTAGTAGGCTCCTATGGGTTACCTCTGGTCAGTGGAATAGCCATTTCTTTTGCTTGCATTTCTTGTACTTGTATTAATGGACTGATCATAAAATAATTGTGGTCAATTTTTCTCCAGGATAATGTCCTGTCCTCTGCTAGGTCTACCACAGTTAGGCAGTTTTGCCTGGGTAAAGATAGCAGGCCTTTAACCAGGAGGTCATGACTTCCTTCTTAAAAGACTTTAATCAGCATGTATTACAGGGGTAGGCAAAGTTTTTTGGCCCGAGTGCTGAAAAAAACCTCAATGTCTACCTTGGAAGGTGCTGGAGCACTGACATACTGGAGCCCGGAGCAGCTGTTTGCAGCCTCTCGGCTGCAGCCGGCCCACGGAGCCCGGTCTGCTTGCAGCAGGGCTTGCAGCCTCCCAGCCACCCGCTGGGAGCAGCCCGGGCTCCATGACTGGCAGCAGCTGCTTAGAGCCCGGGCTGGCGCTAGTGTTATGAGCAAAATGGCCTTGCGTGCCATGCTCGGCATGCGTGCCAGGGGTTGCTGACCCCATATCTATTAAATTCATGGAAATCAAGAGAACACACACTTTCCAGATATCACTCAGCTTTCTGTGAGACCAATCCTTTCTATTGGAAACACAACAGGAACCTAAAGATAACACAATGGAGTTAGGAAAAGAAAGGGTTGACAGGTCTTGGTTATTTTTTTGCTTCTTTTATGTCCTATTTACCTCCCACCCCAAAGTAGGGAAAAATAAAATAACTTATTAAGGCCCAACAACAAAGATTTCATATGCATAATTTATTTTAAAGTTTATTGCATCACATTATACAAGCGTTAAACATGGCTTTATGCTGATGATGGTTTTTTGTTTTAAGTGTGAAAATTCAACATTCTTCTCCATAGAATTTTTTTTCTTTTTGCTATTTACAAATAAACAATCTTTCTATATATTATACA